TGGCCCAAGTGCTTGGGATTCTGCACCCATGTGGGAGACCCAGAAGCAGCTCCTGGCTCCTGGCTTCGGCACGGTCCAGCCCTAGTTGTTGCAGCCATTTAGGGAGTGAATCAGTGGATGGAAAATCTGTCTCTCTTATATATATAACATTTAAATAAATAAATAAATAAATCTTTAAAAAATTTCATCCAAAAAAAAAAAAAAAAAAAAACCAGAAAAACCGGACAGGAGGCTGGTGCTGTGGCACAGCGGATTAAGTTGCCGCTTGTGACTCCAGTGTCCAGTATAGGAGTGCTCAGTCCAGTCCCTGCTTCCACCCAGCTGCTAATGGGTCCCCTGGGAGGCAGCAGCTGATGGCCCAAGTACTTGAATCCCTGCCACCCTTGTGGGAGACCAAGATGGAGTTCCTGGCCCCTGGCTGGGAGGTGCTCTGTGGCTAGGCTTGCTGACTTGGCACACAGCAAGGTGAACAGAGGAAGGGATACTCACATCACAAAACCTGCAGGAAGGCTGGGGGCAGGCACTGACAAGCCAGGGGCAAGCGGAAGGGGGCAGGTGGCTTCTCTTTTGACCTAGCCTTTGGAGTAACAGAGAAGGGGCCAGAGAGGTGGGAAGGATGAGTATCCTGGGGACCCCAGCAGGGAAAGCTACCGAGACAACAGGGCTCCTTGCAGCACAGGGCCTGAAGCTGACACGGGTGGACTGGGCATGCCATCCATGTAGTCATGAGAAGTGAGTGAAATAAGGAACAATTAAAATGGTGGCCAGTGAGTTAAGCCACCACCTGTGTACCCCTGCTAATGCTCCTGAGAAAGCAGCGGAAGATGGTTCAAGTGCTTGGGCTCCTGCCACCACGTGGTAGACCCTCATGTTGTTCCAGGCTCCTGGCTTTGGCCTAGCCCAATCCTGGTTGTTGAACCTGGGAGTTGATCCTGGGAGTGAACCAGAGGATGGAAGATCTCTCTAACTTTACCTTGCAAGTAAATAGATCTTAAAAAAAAAAAGGCCGGCGCCGCGGCTCACTAGGCTAATCCTCCGCCTAGCAGCGCTGGCACACCGGGTTCTAGTCCCGGTCGGGGCGCCGGATTCTGTCCCGGTTGCCCCTCTTCCAGGCCAGCCCTCTGCTGTGGCCAGGGAGTGCAGTGGAGGATGGCCCAGGTGCTTGGGCCCTGCACCCCATGGGAGACCAGGAAAAGCACCTGGATCCTGCCATCGGATCAGCGCAGCGCGCCGGCCGCGGCGGCCATTGGAGGGTGAACCAACGGCAAAGGAAGATCTTTCTGATCTTTCTCTCTGTCTCTCTCTCTCACTGTCCACTCTGCCTGTAAAAAAAAAAAAAAAATAAAATCAAATGAAAAGGAGATGAGGGAGGAGGAAACAGTGGACTGGTACAAAGGAAACAGTGGAATCTGAGGCAGGGCATGGAAAAAGCAAGCTACTGGGTGAGCCCCAGCAGCACTGCGGGATCACAGTTGGGAGACAGCCGGGTTCAGTAGGCTCATCAGTGGAAAGCATCAGGAGGCTGGAAGCTGTGAAAGGTGGGCAGCTGCTAGGAAGCAGGCTGCTTGTGAAGGGGTGGGTGGAGGACTCAGGCTGGAGCTTTCCCAGCATAGCCTGCGTTCTTTCCGCCACGCTGGGTCCTAGGGCTGGGGAAACGGCACAGCCTATTACAGTTCAGCTCAGGCAGGCGTCTGCCAGTATCACCACCAATCCCAGCAATGAAAAGTTCGATAAATGATTGGACGGTGATTTACAACCTCTATGAGAAAAAAATGAGGCCATCCAGTCCAAAAACAAATGTATGGTAAAAATCACATTCCATTGTAAAAGTAGCTCATTTACATCAAAACATGCTAACTCAAAAATTGGGAGCCGGCGCCGCGGCTCACTAGGCCAATTAATCCTCCATCTGCGAGGCCGGCACCCGGGTTCTAGTCCCGGTCCGGGTGCCGAATTCTGTCCCGGTTGCCCCTCTTCCAGGCCAGCTCTCTGCTGTGGCCCGGGAGTGCAGTGGAGGATGGCCCAAGTGCTTGGGCCCTGCACCCGCGTGGGAGACCAGGAGAAGCACCTGGCTCCTGGCAGTGCGCTGGCCACAGCGGCCATTGAGGGGTGAACCAACGGAAAAGGAAGACCTTTCTCTTTCACTGTCCACTCTGTCAAAAAAAAAAAAAAAAATTGGGAAAGCATATAAACTGGTAATTAACAAAAGTACAAATTCAAGTGACTAACAGTAAACATAATGTTGAAGAAATAGACAAAAACATGTTCGATGTCAGATTAAAAACTGTAAGGGCCAGCACTGTGGTGCAACAGGTTAAGCTGCCGTATTCCAGAGAGCACTTGTTCAAGTCCCAGCTGCTCAGCTTCTGATCCAGATTTCCAGCTAATGTGCCTGGGAAGGCAGATGATGGCCCAAGTACTTGGGCCACTGTCACCCATATGGGAGACCAGGATGTTTCTGACTCCTGGCTTTGGCCTGTCCCAGCCCTAGCTGTTGTGGCCATTTAGGGATGAACCAACACTCTGTCTTTCAAATTAAAGACCTAGGAATTCTATTCTGGGACTTATCGTAAGGAAATAATCAAAGATATAGACCATGTTCATCACAGTATTATTTATAATTAGAAAAACAGAAACAACCTAAATGTCCAACAGTAAGGGATTAACTAAGTACATCCATATTATGCAGCCCGTACTTTTCTTTAAGGATAGAAAAGTGCATAATATAGTTTTAAAAAGATGTTAAAATTTTAAATACAAGTTATTTAGAAAAGTATACAAAACAGGAGATACTAGAAAGTAATTTCACATTTTGTATTTTCAGTATTTCCCAATTGTCCATATGAGCTATACATTAGAGTTCAACTATCACAACAGAAAGACTGTTATTGAAAGCAGATGCACCTAACACCCTGCCATGCTCTGACCACCTGCCCCAAGCCAGAAGCCTCAACACAGTAGCTTGGGTCAGTCTCCTCATTACAGGGTTGTTTCGACCTGGCTGCCCATTCCCACTTCCAAGTCTACTGAGCTCCCTACAAGTCTGCAGCAGGGTCTGCCCCCATGTCTAGTGTGACTTGATGCAGTGGGCAGTCTGCTTGCTGTCTGGAAATCTCTGGGTCTCCCCAGTCTGATTACCTCCCAAGACCTGAACCTCGTTATTTCATCAAACTGATGTTACTCCAGCACTACCACCATCGGTACGTACCAGTTTTTAATTTTGGAAAAGTATGTCTGGTGAAACAACACAATAGCAGAAATTTGTCAGAAGAATATTAGCTCTGATTTGGGGAATAAATGACCAGTAGGTAGTGCCTAGGTAGGGCCTGAAGCTTGCTTGCTTGAGTTGCTAGCACAGTGCTAGGCACATCAGGGTTCACAGATTGCTGTCTGCAATGAGGAAATGGGAGTGAGCAACGTGATAGCACCCCAACATTCTCAGTGTACCCTGCAGATTCTGGTTTTAGTACTAGAAAGGTACTTAGGCAGTTATTTCTTTAAGACTTTTAATTAAGATAGCGACTTTATAGTTAAGTTGTATGAACAGACCAATTCTCTCCGTGTGCTTCTGGACCCAGAACGTGCTGTTTCTGCTGGGCTTTGCCCCATCCACTCCCAAGTTTAACACTCACCCTTTCCCTCGCTCCTCGGCTTGTCCACACGCTGACGTTCTTCTTATACCAAAAAACGTGTATTTCTCCAAGCCACCAATGGGCTCTTCCTCTTCACTCGCGGACTCCCCCAGTCTAGAAGCTCCCACCTGGACTCCACTGCCAGCTCTTAACGCTCTCCTAGCCTTACTACAGCGGGCGGGATGATCTTCCTGGAACCCAGCCTGACCAGCTTGCTTCTCTAATGCATGCTACTTGAGGGCTCTCTGCCAGCTACAGAATGGCAAAGCTCCTTAGGCAAGAAAGGCTTTCGATGCTACCTCATTCGACATTCCCACTTGACCTCTTAAAATCCAGTAACATCTAACAAGGTGCCATTAACTTGATCTCTCCTTTCACCCTCTACTGTCTGGCTAACTTGTTCACTTTCAGATTGTTTTAGGAAGGCTTTCCCGACCATGCATCAGCACAGTGCCCCTCCCTCAGCACTCCCAATGGTACTCAGCAGGTAACTGTCCCAGAACCCACTGCTCACACTGGCAGTAATTCTCACATCTGTCAATTTACTGAAGTGCAGGACTGTGTACCGAGTACAATATGAGTGCTCAAATGTTTGCTGACCTAAAATCTGGATCCCAGATACAACTATTGTAATGTAACTGGCTTCAAATTTAGTTTTTTAGACCTTGGTTTTTAACAGAACATGAATTGGACCTGACAGTGCTGGGATTGTAACTTTCATTTTATAAAGCTTTCTGAGGGCCGATGATGGGGAGAGCAGAAAACAACCCAGCCAGATTTTTAATGATTTCAGAAAATCCAAAATTGGAGAGAAATGATATGCTTGACAGCAGCTTTTATCATCCAGCCCTGGGGGTTCCCTAAGAACCCAACAGGAAGGAGTCTGGAGAGCAGACAACAGTCCGGCCAGCTCCACATTTCGGTGCCCATGTCCGTCAGCTTTGCACTTTGCAGAAACGGACTCTAAGAGTCCTTTGTGATTATCAGAGAGGCTCACTACCCGGCTATACCTAACACGAGGGTTCGAGAGCTTTCAGTTTCCTGGTTACCTGTGCTTCTTCTTCCCTTATCAGGCTTACGGAAGTTGGTGCCCAAAACGCGAATGAGGACCGCGTCTCCGATTCCACCTTCGTCTTTAGAGCAACCCTGTTTGCGGAATCCAAGTGCTCCTGGCCAATTCCAGCCTGCCAGATCCCACAGGCCACTTGATTTTCCACGAATACTGTCAAGAATCACCTTAGCTTTTCTCCTGTGGTAAGTGGCCTCACAAAGATGTCCACTGTTTGCTCATGCTTGGGTCTAAAAAGAACCCAATTCTTTATAGAAACAGCACTTCACACCATGGCAAACTGTTTTAGAAACAAGACATACTAATTCACCTAAGTCTTTATTTATTTGGCTCTAGGAAGAATTTGCAGGAAAATGAGCCCGTATGGCAGGTACAGAATGTACTGTAACAGCACCAGAGGCACTCCTCCCTCCTCCACAGCCTCAGCGTTTCACACATACAAGTGACTTCAGTCATAAACCAGATAGTCCAGGAACAAAGAAGCCCTTTAGGAAAACAAGATCAGTTGAGAGTGACTTTTCAAATTGACCATTTCTTTTCATAAACTTAAGTTCAAATAATGGATACATTCAGAGGCCCAAATATTGGCATAGAATAAAATCATGTTCATTTATTTTTTCTGCATCTTAGAAGGCATAAAATTAAATATGTTGAATGTAATAAATTCATCCATACAAGTGCAAGTCTCCAGCTACAATGTATTTTATGGCAGATTTATTATTTAAAAAATGTACCAGTAAATCAAAAAAGAGGGAGTAGGTCCATTTAACTTTTATTGAAGTGTATGTAGGAGGTCCTCAAAAATCAAATAGGAGCATGAAGATATGGCCAAACATAAAACCTATCAAATTCTGTGACAAGTTGCTGACTTTAAATAGTAGTTGTAAGAATGACCAATATATATTCTTTGTTAACAACCCCTCACTCTACAGTAAAAAAAAATAAAATAAACATTCAGTAAACATTCTTTCCTAAGGTAGTTTCCCTTATAATCAGTGATTTATCCATTTCTTTGTATACACAAATTTGTTGAACATACCAATCAGTGGTTCTCACAATTGAAAAATAAAAGCACAAAAAAGTTTACACTCTTGTACAGGTAAATAAAAGATCACCTTGAATTAAACTGGATCTCCTTAAGGGCGTAGTATAGTTTCATTACCTATTACATAATTAGTTTCTTACATACAAATATTGACATATTTGGCTTGTGCTTCGAAGCCTCTGTGTCTGTGACATCCAGGTGGCCACAGCTCATAGCTGGAAGTCTCCCGGGAGCTCGCTGCTGCTGCCGCTGCCGCCGGCGGGGCCCTGACTGCGCGTCAGCGTCTCCTCAGCATCGGCCGCGTCCCTGCACACCTCAGCCTCGGCGGCGGCGGGGTCCAAGCCTTCAGGGCAGGGGAGCTTCAGCAGCTCCTCCCGAAGCTGTGCCGTGTGCCGCTGTGCGGGACAGAACCGCTGTGGTTAGAACTGTGAACCTTGGCACTCGAGAGCCACGTCATTCAAAGTGGGAACTGGGGTTTTTTTTCTTAAAGATTTATTTTTATTTATTTGAAAGGCAGAGTTACAGAGAGAGGTAGAGACAGAGCGAGACACATTTTCCATTGGCTGGTTCACTCCCCAAATGGCTGCAATGACAGGTTAGGCCAGGCAGAAGCTGGGAGCTGGGAGCTCCTTCCAGGTTTCCCACCTGGGTGCAGGGGCCCAGCCACTTGGACCATCCTCCACTGCTTTCCCAGGCACATTAGCAGGGAGCTGGATTAGAAGGGCAGCAGCCAGGACTCGAACTGGTGCCCATATGGGATGCCAGCGCTGCAGACCCCAGGAATTGGATTTTAACCACGCCGCCAACACCCTGCCAGCCAGTTTCCTGAGCATCCCCTTGTCTGGCCACTATTGCCGGCAGCACCACAGAGGCAGCAGGACTGATGACGGGGGACATCACTAACTGATACATGTGCTTTGAAATGAGTGACACTAACTCTGGCTTCTCCTACACTGGTATGCTGCCCTGGGTGAAACACTTTTCAAAGACAAGTGACTGAACTAAAACAAAACCAATGTGATTTTAGTGAATAAAAACATGTATTTAGCAAGTACTACATCCTGTGCAAAATGTTTACAAAATATTTTACATTAAGTTTTATGCAATGCTTGAAATAAATATTTTAAATGATTTCATCATAGAATTTTTTTAATTTAGCAAAGGAGATAACGTCACAATTTACGGAAGGAGGCACTGACGCGATAGAGTGGCTGTCTGCAGGTGTGAAGTGGCTTTGTCATTTTCTAGGAGAAGAGAAATGACCCTCACTGTTACACCAAGGACTCTGAAAAGAGAATTCTATCAATAGTTGACTTTGAAAATTAACTAAGCAGGGGGAGACATGTGGCAGTGGTTAAAAATGGCTTGGGATGTGCATATCCCTCTTAGAGGGCCTGGACTGCAGTCCCGGCTCTGGTTCCTGACTCCGCTTCCTATTAATGCACACCCTGGGAGACACTTGTGTCCCTGACGCCATGAGGGAGACCTGGTGTGAGTTCCAGCTCCCAGCTTTGAAAAGGCTCAACCCCAGTTGTTGAGGCATTTGGGGAGTGAATCAGCAGATGGGAGTTTTCTGTCTCTGTCTCATTCCTCTCTGCCTTTCCACCAAAAGCTAAAGTAAATAAAAACGTATTATAACAAAAAACAACAAAATTAACCACTACTTATATAGGGTAATTTTCATGTATGAGACACTATAAAACTTAAATAAACACATATTGCAACAAAAACAAAATTAACCAGTATTCATATAGGACACTTTTCATGTATAAGGCACTATGTTAAACAATGACATCATAAAAGCAATAAGCAAGAAAGATACGATCTCTGGGACTGGCACTGTGACATAGCGGGTAAAGCAACCGCCTGAAGTGCCAGCATCCCATATGGGCACTGGTTCGAGTCCTGGCTGCTCCACTTCCAATGCAGCTCCTGGCAAATAGCCTGGGAAAACATGGAAGATGGCCCAAGTACTTGAGCCCCTGCACCAACGTGAGAGACTCACAGGACGTTCTTGGCTCCTGGCTCAGTCTGATCCAGCACTGGCCATTGCAGCCATTTGGGGAGAGTACCAGTAGATGGAAGATTTCATTCTGTTTTTCTCCACCTCTCTCTATAGCTCTGCCTTCCAAATGAATAAATAAAATCTTAAAAAAAAAAAAACCTAACAAATTATCACTATCATGATCTAGCTGTTTTAAGTAAAGACAGTTTTTTTTTTTTCTGCTTTAAAAAAAAAATTCATGTATTCTGAAAGTCAGAGCTACAGACAGAGAGTTGGAGAGACAGAGAGAGCTCTTCTATCTGCTGGTTCACTCCCCAGATGGCCGCCACAGCCAGGGCTGGACCAGGCCAAGGCCAGCAGCCAGGAGCTCCTTCCAGGTCAACCAAAAGGGTGGCAGGGGCCCAGGGATTTGGGCCATCTTCCACTGCTTTCCCAGGTGCATTAGCAGGGAGCTGGATCTTTAGTGGGGCAGCCAGGACAGGAATTGGCACCAAATGGGATGCTGGTGTCGCAGGTGGAGGTTTTACCCACTACACCACAATTCTGGCCCCAGCAAAGACAGTTTTAAAGTTAGAAGGGGCCAGCGAAGACGGAAAAATATCTGAAGACAGATAGAGGGGAAGAGAACTAGTGGAAACTGAAGACACAGAAGTGAGTAAAGACAGAATTCTGAGGCAGGAAAAATTGTGGCTGTCTTGACAAATGATTCCTACACGTGGAAAAAAATCATCCAAAACCATCATGCTACCTTTAGCCTTCTGTGACTCACCCAAGTTGCAAACAAATTCTGGACCTCCCCCAGAGACACCAGAGCCGCTGTGGCCAATCAGGCGGTTAAAGGCCCTGTAACTCACGCCCTGTACCCTATATTACAACAAGTACTAAAATTCTGGAAGGCAAAAGGCCTATAGAAGTATTTATGATGGGGATGGCACTGTGGCGTAGCGGGTAAAGTCACCCAGTGCTGCAGTGCCGGCATCCCATATGGGCAGTGGTTCAAGAACTGGCTGCTCCACTTCTGATCCAGCTCTCTATTATGGCCTGGCAAAGCAGTGGAAGATGGCCCAAGTGTTTGCACCCCTGCACCTGGGGAGGAGACCCGGAAGAAGCTCCTGGCTCCGGATTGGCTCAGCTCCGGCTATTGCGGATATCTGGGAGTGAACCAGAAGATGGAAGCTCACTTTCTCTCTCTCTGCCTCTCTGTAACTCTGCCTTTCAAATAAATAAAAAAATCTATGATCCTTCTTCATTTTTTATTTTTTTTTAAACTTTTATTTAACAAATACAAATTTCCAAAGTACAACTTTTGGATTACAGCAGCTTTTCCCCCCATAATCTCCCTCCCACCTGCAACCATCCCATCACTCACTCCCATTCCCTCTTCCATCCCATTCTTCATCAAGATTCTTTTTTTTTTTTTTTTTTTGACAGGCAGAGTGGACAGTGAGAGAGAGACAGAGAGAAAGGTCTTCCTTTGCTGTTGGTTCACCCTCCAATGGCCGCCGTGGCGGGCACGCTGCGGCTGGCGCACCGCGCTGATCCGATGGCAGGAGCCAGGTACTTATCCTGGTCTCCCATGGGGTGCAGGGCCCAAGCACCTGGGCCATCCTCCACTGCACTCCCTTGCCACAGCACAGAGCTGGCCTGGAAGAGGGGCAACCGGGACAGAATCTGGCGCCCCGACTGGGACTAGAACCCGGTGTGCCGGCGCCGCAAGGCGGAGGATTAGCCTAGTGAGCCGTGGCGCCGGCCAAGATTCATTTTCAATTATCTTTATATACAGAAGATCAACTTTATACTAAGTAAAGATTTCAACAGTTTGTATCCACACAGATACACAAAGTATAAAGTACTGTTTGAGTACTAGTTTTACAGTTAATTTGCATAGTACAACACATTAAGGACAGAGTAGGTGCACAGTGACTCCCGTTGTTTATTTAACAATTGACAATTTATAATGTCAGTAATCACCTGTGCCTCTTGTCATGAGCTGCCAAGGCCATGGAAGCCTCTTGAGTTCACAAGCTCCAACCTTATTTAGACAAGGCCATAGTCAAAGTGGAAGTTCTCTCCTCCATTCAGAGAAAGGTACCTCCTTCTTTGATGAACTGTTCTTTCCGCTGGGATCTCACTCACAGAGATCTTTCATGTAGGTCATTTTTTTTTGCCACAGTGCCTTGGCTTTCCATGCCTAAAAAAGTCTCCTGGGATTTTTAGCTGGATCTAAGTGGCCTTAAGGGCTGATTCTGAGGCCAGAGTGCTGTTTAGGGCATCTGCTATTCTATGAGTCTGCTGTGTATCCCGCTTCCCATGTTGGATCATTCTCTCCTTTTTAATTCTTTTTAATTCTATCAGTTAGTATTAGCAGACACTAGTCTTATTTATCTGATCCCTTATGCACTTAATCCCATCTTTATGATCAATTATCAACTTAAACTGATCACTTTGACTAGTAAGATGGCATTGGTCCATGCCACCTTGATGGGATTGATTTGGAATCCCCTGGCACGTTTCTAACTCCACCATTAGGGGGAAGTCCGAGTGAGCATGTGCTGAACTGTACATCTCCTCCCTCTCTTATTCCCACTCTTATATTTAACAGGGATCACTTTTCAGTTAAATTTAAACACCTAAGAATAACTGTGTGTTAATTAAAGAGTTCAACCAACGGTATTAAGTAGAACAAGAAAATACTAAAAGGAATAAAATAGTAAGCTGTTCCACTACCGGCTGGACAAGGGCTGATCAAATCATTGTTTCTCATAGTGTCCATTTCACTTCAACAGGTTTCCTTTTAGGTTGTGCACGACCCTCCTTTAAAGGTAGACGGAGCTACCTGCTGGGAAGGCCCACTCACCTTGAGAGCAGCTGCGTGGTGCGACATGGTCCTGCCGACGCGTTTATCACTGCTGTACTGCTGGATGTCTGCAATCCACTCCTCACACTGCGCCATGATCTCAACTCTTTTCAAGTAAAAATGCTTGTGTATGACCTTGGAGGAAAAAACAGCCAAGGGAACAAAATGTTTTTACCATCAGGATTTAGAAGACAAATTATAAATATAAATAAAGAAAATTATAAATAAAATTAAAAGACACTGCCATGTTTTGCTATGCACAAAATTCAATTTTTAAAGAAGATTTATTTTATTTATTTGAAAGGCAATTACAGAGAGAGACACAGACAGACAGAGACATGTCTTCCATCTGCTGGTTCACTCCCCTAATGGCCATAATGGCTGGATCAGGGCCAGGCTGAATTCAGCAGCCAGGAGCTTTTTCTGGGTCTCCTATGTGGATTCAGGGGCCCAAGAGCTTGGGCCATACACTGCTGCTTTCTCATACGTTAGCGGAGAGCTGGGTAGGAAGTGGAGCAGCTGGGACACAAACTGGTCACCATTTGTGATGCCAGGGTCGCAGACAGTGGCTTTACATGCTACCCCACAAAACTCAAGTTACCGAACCCTGTATCATTAGCAGGGAGGAATCAGGCTCATATCAATGACATGTTGAAACATCCAGTTCTACAGCGAAGAAGGTGCATTCTTGGTCACAAGCTCAGCACATACACATATAATGCAACATACTCAGGGAATAACATGGAGAAAAGAATTTAAAAGGACCTGACAACCAAAACACTTCTGTCTTTAAAAGAGGACTCAAAAAAACTTAGATAAGTAAAAATACTCAAAATATCAAAGACATTAACAGAGAAATCAGAATGGAGCCCTAGAAACAACAGTACTTACCCTTATCTTCTGGTTAACTTCTAGACAGGATCTTACTTTATGAAACTAAATTTCCTGACAATGACAGTTAATATTTGGGATTTTAAAAAAATTCTATCTTTGAAAAACTAGTAAAATTGTAAGGTAAGTAGGATGAGTTTATTTCTGATAAATTTAATTGGAAAAACAAACAATAATTTGAAAACATATTACTCTGTATTCTGGCTGATCTGCTACAGGGTTCAATGAGCTTATCACTCACAAAGAAAAGGAAGGTGTACCTATAAAGAAAAAATCATGAGGAAGACCTGAATTCGATGCCTGTGGCAATACAAAAATGAGCTAACACACAGCCTGACCTGAGAAACATGATAAACTCAGGGAGTTCAAGAGGACTGAGTCATATTTGATTAGAAAAAAATCTGGCAAGCATGGAACAAATGTGCCATCACTAATGCCAGCCATGTTCTACATGATGAGGCGGATGATTGTTTCAAATCGGTTATTTGTTTTTTGTAAAGGTCATTTCTGCACTTTGAGTCTCCTGTGTTCTTTGAGGAACAAACTGCATTTGGGCTGACCATTAAGATGCCCACATCCCAGACCAGAGCGCCTGGCTAGGATACCTGGCTCTGGCTCCAGACTCCAGTTTCCTGTTAATGCAGACAATGCGAGGTAGCAAGATGGCTCAGGTGAGGGAGTTTCTGTCACCAACACGGACACCTAGATTGAATTACTGACCCCTGCTTTGCTCCCAGCCATTGTAGGCATCTGTGGAGTAAACCAGCAGATAGAAGCTTGCTTTCTACCTCTCAAAAAAGAAAAGAAAATTCTATGCATAAACCAACATATTATATTTGAGTTAAAAAATTCCACTTATACTCTTATTTGAGAAACAAAGACATGGACATAGAAACACACAGACACGCTGCTCTCATTGACTGGTTCACTCGCAAAATGCCTAGGCAAACCTGGGCTGGGCTAGGCTAGCTACACAGAAGCTGCAAGCCAGGATCTCAACCCAGGTCTCCCATGCATGTGGGTGACAGGAATTCTATTTCTCTTCCTTTTTAAAAAATATTTTATTTATTTGAAAGACAAAATTACAGAGAGACGGGGTGGGGCAGAGAGACAAAGCGACAGAGAGGGAGAGAGAATTTTCTAACTGCTGGTTCAATCCCCAAACAAAGGGGCCAGGAAGAGCCAGGAACTTCATCCAGGTCTCCCATATGGGTGATGCCTACTTTTCCCAGGCAATGAGCAGCAAGCTGGATCAGAAGTGGAGCAGCAGGATACAAACTGGCACCCATATAGGATGCTGGCATCACAGGCGGCGGCTTTACCCACTATACTACAATGCTGGTATTACCTAAAAGACATCTCACTGTATTTTGGGACAATTTTATTCCTTCTTTTTAGTATTTACTATTTTATCTATCTTATTATCAATTTTTTAAGACTAACTGTGAAAGAGTTTAGAATACTAGTTACTAGTACAGGTATAATACAAACTATACTCAAAATATCTTTTAAAAAGTCAGTCACATTGCTGGACATACCTCTTTAAAACATGGTGAAGGGTTTCTGATTTGTTCTAACATTGCCCATTTAACTGTCGCCTGTCGAATGTTTCCATCGTACTCTCGAGAACTCTGCGTGCCACTGGGAGTGCCTCGAGAACGCTCGTATCCTGGCTCATTGAAATAAGGCTCAGCTACCAATATAAGGGACTGCACAGATACCAACACCTGAGGAATAAAGGAAACAAAAAACAGTTATAACAGGAGATTACTATCACCAATGAATCGATATCTCACTTTTAAGCACAAGCAGTCTCTTTTTTTTTTTTTTTTAACAGGCGGAGTGGACAGTGAGAGAGAGAGAGAGAGAGAGAGAGAGAGAGAGAAAGGTCTTCCTTCCGTTGGTTCACCTTCCAATGGCTGCCACGGCCAGCACACCGCACTGATCCATAGCCAGGAGCCAGGCACCAAGGTCTCCCATGCGGGTGCAGGGCCCAAGCACTTGGGCCATCCTCCACTGCACTCCTGGGCCACAGCAGAAAGCTGGATTGGAAGAGGGGCAACCGGGACAGAATCCAGCGCCCAGACCAAGGGACTAGAACCTGGGGTGCCGGCACTGCAGGCAGAGGATTAGCCTATTGAGCTGCGGCACTGGCCGGTAATCTTTCTTAAACACTGAATTGTAAATATGAGTTTAAAATATGTAGGAAACAATGACTGTTTCTGTTTCCTAAATGAACAAGCAACAAAGTTAATTTCTATTATTAGTATACTTACTTGTCCATTTGTTTCCTGGGATACCAAAGAATCAACAAGAAGTTTTTGAAGTGACATTAAGTACCATTTTGTTATAGGTACTCAAGTGTCTGGTGGAAACTAACATGAAGGTGAAGACTATGAAATCCCTGTATCAAATGTTCTGCAAAATAAGAACTACAAATCTCAAGTTTTATGAACTCCAGGACCTCAAATCTAATTATTAATTAAATTACCAAAAAGCTACATCATGTATGAAGAAATACCAATAGTGTCTTTTAAAGGTAATTTTGACAAAATTTTGTTTTTTCTTATGCCCTAACCTGAGATTTTAAATCCCAAATATGACAGTAGAAATCAAGAACTTTTAACATGTGTGGGTCTTTATTTCCTAAGTGAAACTATCAGGAAAATTTTGTTTACTTGCAAAAAGCTTGAGGTCTGAGGATTCCACTTCTCTTCTGGCCTTCCATGCCAAGTATTTAAGATGCTTAAACAAACCTGAAAAAGAGGGGTAAAAACACCAACAAAACTGAAAGGGTGGCTTAAGAGACAACCATCATAACAAGAAGTGAAAGCAAATTACTATTGTGTCAAAGTATCTTGGTTTTATGCCCCCAAATAAATCTCCAGTGGCTGTTCTATTAAAACAAAACTGGTATCTTCATATGTGGTCCAAACTGTGTGGCATTATAATTCATTCATAATGAAAAATTATGAGGCAGCACCTACTACATGCCAACATAAATAATGTATTTTTAAATGAAAAATAACTCAGCTTCAAAATACAGAACTTTGCAGTGAGGAAAAATGGTAGTGATTTATAATTTTGTAAATTTTATTCTAAAGTTCACAAAGTTATGAAAATGGAGTATGACTTAATGGAAGACACTCTGATTTCATATCTGTCTCTGCATTCAACTTGTGGCAAAAGATTGTTATGGTTGGAGGATTCGGATATGGATCAAATCTGGCCTCACACCAACACTAAGCTGGCCAAGGGAAGAGTTCAGAGACTCCCTAGGAAGATATTGAGGAGTCTCGGAGCTCATCAGAACACATTTTAAGGCCTGGCAGTTACTTGTTCACTTAGATAGTGAGACTGAACTCAACTCAGGTTCCAAACACAGGGCAATCAAGTCACTGTGAGGAGAAAAAAAAATGGGGACATCTGATTTATACTTGTAAACTACTCTTGTGATAGATAAAAATAAAACGGGGGGACTATTCCATACATCATATGTTCTTCTGGCATATAAGCATCTAGCAATATTAAAAAAAACACTCAGATTTTGTGAACATTTAGAATTTCATGTAATGTGCAACAAATCAGAAAATAAGCAGTCCTTAAAAAGAGCAGAGAAGGCCTCTTGGAAGGTCCATTAATGACCTAGACTTGTATCTACAGATCCATGTGTATTATCCCAAGTACTGTCACTCATTACCCCACTTGATGTTTAGAGCATTCTTGTGATAACTAATGGCTTTGTCCCTTTCCCTGTCCTTGTCCCTGTACCACTAAGCCTTAAGGAAATTAATCTCTCTAATCAATTAAATTAATCAATTAAAGCGGCCGGTGCTGTGGTGCAGTGGAGAAAGCCACTGTCTGCACCTCTAGCATCCCACAAGGTGCCAGTTCTAGTCCACCTGCGCCACTTCCAACCCACCTCCATGCTCATGCATTTGGAAAAGCAGTGCAAGATGGCCTCAACACTTGGATCCCAGCAACCATTTCCAAGACTTGGATAAAGCTCCTGGCTCCAGCCTCGGCCAGCCCTGGTTGTTGCAGCCATCTGGGGTGTGAACAGTAGATGGACGATCCCTGTCTCTCTCTCTCTCTCTCTCTGTAACTCTGACTTTCAAACAAAGAAATACCTTTTTTTTAAAAAATCACCTTTATTATTTCACACTTAAACGCTCGTCAACTAAAGTTAACATTGCCATGAGTATTTTCTTTTCCTAGTCACAGAAATTCTATTCTTTGCTTTTCAAAAGAAAGTTAAGGAAGGTCTGCTTCTAGTGCAATCTTTCACAATAAACTCAGGAAATGAATTCTAGTTTTACGATCTAAGCTAATGAAGATGATGAAATGCTAACTTGCAACCACAGTTCTCAGACAGGCTGAGTACCTTTGAAACAAAGAAGGAAAAAGCAATGGAAAACATGGGAACATCATAGATAAAGGTTCTTTTCTTTTTTTTATTTAACAGGTAGCGATATAGACAGTGCGAGAGACAAAGACAGAGAGAAAGGTCTTCCTTCCGTTGGTTCACTCCTCAAATGGCTGCTGCAGCCGGAATGCTGCGCCAATCCGAAGCCAGGAGCCAGGTGCTTCTCCTGGTCTCCCATGCGGGTGCAGGGCCCAAGCAACTGGGCCATCATCCACTGCCTTCCCCGGCCACAACAGAGAGCTGGACTGGAAGAAGAGCAACCGGGACTAGAACCTGGAGCCCATATGGGATGCTGGCACCGCAGGCTGAGGATTAACCAAGTGAGCCATGGTGCTGGCCCCAATAAAGGTTATTTTCAAGCACTTGCTATTCGCATCATCAAACAAACATCTCCTTGTGAAATTTATACATTTCTTCTAATCTTTTGTCACATATTAAAGGTTATTCCCCATAGAAATTACCATTAAAATTCCATCAAATTATGCAAAATTACTTTTGAAAGTGATTATGGTGATCATTTGGCCTAGAGATTAAGATGTTACTTGGGATACCCACTTCCCATATACGACTGCCTGGCTCAAGTCCCAGCTACTCTGCTTCTAATCCAGCTTCCTGCTAACGTGTACCCTGAGAGGCAGCAGGTGAGAGCTCAAGTAGCCGGGTCCCTGCCATCCCTATGGGAGACCCAGACTGAATTCTGGACTGCTGGCTTTAGCCAGGCACTGTCCTAGCTGTGGCAGGCATTTGCATAGTGAGCTGGAGGCTGGAAGCGCTTTCTTTCAAATATGACTATTATTCTGAATTTAATTTTCAAAGGTTTACTGTCATATAATTTTTACTATACTTTGTCAGTTTATTTACTTTTGATGGAAATGCATAATTTTCAAAAAATTATTTGAAAGGCAGAGCCACAGAGAGAGAGAGAGGGAGAGAGGGAGGCTGAGAGTAAGGGAGACAGACACACAGAGAGACTGATCTTCCATCCACTGGTTCACTCCCCAAATGGCCACAATGGTTGGGGCTGGACCAGGCTGAATCCAGGACACTGAAATCTCATCTTGGGTCTCCCATGTGGGTGACAGGGGCCCAAACACTGGGCCAACTTCCACTGCTTTCCCAGGCACATTAGCTAGGAGCTGGATCAGAAGTGGAGTAGCCAGTACTCAAACTGGCACCCTAGTGGGAACCAGCATCTCACGCAGTAGCTTGACCCACTGCGCTATAAATGCCAGCCCCATATCTTCCTATTTTTCATATAAAAACGTAAAACTATTTTTGTCATAAATTAAACTTCAAAAGTTCACAACTGTGTATGTTAGGGACCATAAAGGTAATTAGGATGGCAATAAAAAAGTTATGATCATATGTGAAAAGAGAACAGAGAGGTGTTTCTTTTGTCATTTATCTCCTTACAGGTACTTAAGGACTGAGAACTGGAGTCAATGAAAGTAAAAAAGTAAAGAGGCTAAGACAGACAGTGGCTCTGCTATATTCAAAGTAGCGGGCCGTGGAATGAACTGAGTTATGTTAGCCCCTCAGTGACTTCATAAGGTCACTGAGCTTCTTAACACTATAGTGTCTCTACGCTTCTTGGCTTCTTCTTTTATTCTTCAAGCTAATCTGTGAATAAAGGGAAGGACAGCATGAAGAAACCTGCAAGCTCTTAGGACAAAAAGTGGAAAAGCTGCTCGAATGGCAAAGAGCCTTTAGATACTGCAATGGTTTGAGTATTATTTGAACATCTCCGGCAGGCCCATGTGGTAAAAAGGCTTAGACCCCAGGGTTGCACTACTGGGAAGTGGTGGAACCTTTAGGAGGTGGGAGGTTCTTAGATCACTGAGGGTGGCCGCTTGGAAGACAGTTCTTGCGTGACTTCTAGAATTATACGGGTGGGGGAGGTGGTGTCATAAAAGTCAGAGTTCAGACACCCTCTCTGTTTGCTTCTTGGCTTGCCATGTGTTCCTTCCTCCAAACATGCTTCACCACTGTCACCGTATACCCTCACCAAATGCCAAACCAATAGGCCTGCTGATAATGAACTTAAACTTCTACAACTATGAGCTAAATGAATCTTTTTTCTTTAAAAATTGTAGATGTCTAACTTTAAGAAGTTGTTTAGTAATGATAATCAAATACAGACACAGTACATTGGCATTAGAAACAAAAGACTGCAATTACATTACCTTGCCATCATTATAGAGGTTTGGATTGAATCGTACACTATGACCACCAGTTGTCTCTAGATTCACAAGAGGGGGTGAGCTGGGATAATCTTGAGGAAAATATACATCAAACTCAAAGCAGCCATTTGCATAGGGGGTATCCGCTGGGCCAGTTATCAGAACCTAGTATGCATACACAAACACAGAGAGACCTGATGTTGCAGTTATTAAATGCTGACATTCAGAACAGTACAATCTGACATGAAGTAAGAACAAACTTCTAACTGCCTAAATATGTATCTACCAGAATGTGCTAAAATGAAAATAAGTTAAACATAAACACAGGATTAGAAAATGGTTTTGGATTAGAATTAAAGTGATTTGGTTTTGGTAAAAACGGACTATTCAGAGAGATGCCTTGTAGACATCAAGTAAATGTCACGATGAATAAACTTCGAGTCAGCCAACAGCTATTTATTACATCCTTAAAAGCTGTGGGAGAAAGCCAGAGGCACTAGTGTCCCAATCTGTGCAAACTATGATTTATGCTTGGGAGATCCACAAACTCCAAGTGTGAACTTTTGTGGTCCAGTTAGTGAGAAAGTATCTTTCTAGGCAATAATCCTAAAAAAGATACCACTGTAAGTGCAGGCTAAATAGACAAGGTCCACAAGACTGCTACAAGAATGTTACACATAAAAAAAGCAAACGAACCATGTCAGCAAGTAAAGGATCTCTCATGAGTCAATGGGTCAACACATAGAGAAGTGTATTTGAAGAAAACAGAAAATTAATTAAGTCATAAATGTAAAGAAAATATGTTCCCCTCCCACCTAGATATCAAATTTTTATGATTTTCTGATGCAGCAGTCTCTCAGATTTTGGGTCAGACCATGACTGTGTTAAAACATAAAGGTACAGTTATTATTATATTACCATCGCTTAATTCAGAGACTTTATGGATTTTAAAATGTGTACACTTCCTAAGAAAGAAAAACAAGACTAACTGTTGAAGAGTGATATTAGAAAACACAAGGTAAGTTATCCTGGAGGACAAGGAAGACATCCTGTAACCTTCTGTCTACTGAAAAGCACTGAGTCCTTTGAGACCATGTTCTAAAGCTGCGGCACGTAGATAAGCCTTTACTCAGGAAAGTGGATCTTCTGATGTTTTCTTCTAGATATTTTTTTTTTTTTTTTTGACAGGCAGAGTGGACAGTGAGAGAGAGAGAGACAGAGAGAAAGGTCTTCCTTTGCCATTGGTTCACCCTCCAATGGCCGCCACGGCCAGCGCACCATGCTGATCTGATGGCAGGAGCCAGGTACTTCTCCTGGTCTCCCATGGGGTGCAGGGCCCAAGCACTTGGGCCATCCTCCACTGCACTCCCAGGCCACAGCACAGAGCTGGCCTGGAAGAGGGGCAACCGGGACAGAATCCGGTGCCCCGACTGGGACTAGAACCTGGTGTGCCGGCGCCGCTAGGCGGAGGATTAGCCTAGTGAGCCGCGGCGCCGGCCCTTCTAGATATTTTCAACAGCAGCCTAACATACTCTAATCTTACAGAAGAACTCCTTTTACTACACTCTAAAATAGTCAACAAAGTTTTTATTAAATTTATGAAAATTCATGCTGTTTCTAATGTATATGAAAATCTGAGTAATAAATGACATGAAGAGACAAGAAAAAAAGTTGTTCTTCCTACCTTCATGATGTCGAGCCGCTCCTCATCACAGCGTACAAACACACTGGAGGATGACGACAGAGGCAGGGAGGTAGAAAGCGTCACAGCTTCCTGGGCAAGGCGACGGGCTCTGGCAGCACTGTTCGCGTCACTGGCATTCTTCACCTGAGACATGTAGTGGTAATTTACTTTAAAACCCAATTTCCCATCTTCATCTTCAGAAACCATTTCAAATGTATCTAAAAGGAGGGGGTGAAATTAATCCATTGAAAAAGAAGGGAACCATATTCAAAGATAGTTGTTACAATGACAAAAATCACAAATATGTCACCAATCCTTTCTCCCACACAAAACAGAGAAGACCGCAATATAGACTATAAATGAAAACAATGGACTATAAATATTTCAGCAACACCTATGTTATATAGGCATTAACAGTGTTGGATGGAAAATGTAATAGAAGCAAAGGCAGGAAACAATGTTTCATCTAAATGATTTAGGTTAAGTAACATTATAAAGTAGTAATCTATTACCAAAATAGGGTATTTTACTGAAATAACTCAAGATATAAAATATAAAAAATACTCTCACTAGATTTCATTCCTACAAATATACCCAGTCTTTATATACTTCCATTGATTTGGAATTAGAGAACAGAAAAACCAGGCCGAGAATTATGTTAACAGAACAAAAGATTATTAAGATAATGTTTAAGTGACTAAGGAGGAAAAAAAACTATTCCAAGTACTTTGATGTAACACAATGAGCTAATTCTAAATCATTTACTTAGAGCATCTTGGACAGACATATAGAAAAAAGTATATCTGAACTTCATCTCTGACATTAACTCAATTCCTCATCACTGCATATACAAAGATTTAAATAAGTTCTAAGACTAAATTAAAACCAGTTAAAGGAAATACTATGATTATAGGTAATGAGGACCTCTGATCTTACATTCCACATATTTCTAAATACATGGGAAAATAGTGATTTTCCAATTAATATTAATCCTGTAAATTTTACCAAGAGCTTATTTAAAAAGTGCAAGGTCCTGGGCTAAGCAATTTGGATCAAATGATACAGAAGAAACTATGTATCTATCTGCCTTCAAGGAGTTCAGGATCTAGAAAAACAGGAAGACCTACAAAAAGTATTACAAGTCTATGTACTACACTGTTAGAAATCAAAGTGTTACAATCTTTAACAAATCTTTCCAAGACAAAGAAATTTTGGTTCATTTCAAGCAGAAGCTACACATATAACTGTAACTGATGAGATGCATTATGTCTCAGTGAAACTACTGACTGGTTCTTATCAGTGAACTCCTAAACTGGAATTATTCCATCTGCCCAATGCTTGTCTTTCATGGACTACAGGGATAAATTTCTGTTGAATTTTATGAACAGTAATCTTCCAGACACCAAAATGGGCCTATCCTCATACCCAGAAGGAAACTTTTGTCATTTATTCACAGATAATAGGGTCCACTAATATCAAAACTTTATTAAAATAATCATTTAGGTGTCTAGTTGTTGAAAAATATATCCTGTTTCGCTCAGCAATTCCTCTTACATTAAAAAGGAATCAATCATGGATATACACAAATATTTATATATATTGGTGGCCACTGAGATGCTGTACATGTTACTAAAAACTTGGAGACAACCCAAGGGTGCACTGATTAAACACAAATGACATTACAACATATCATATGTAGTTCAGGAAAATCATTATATTAGAAAATGTGGGTATAGGGGACGGCACTGTGGCATAGTAGGTTCAGCCTCCGGCCTGCAGCGCCAGCATCCCACACAGGTGCTAGTTCATGTTCTGGCTGCTCCTCTTCTGATCCAGCTCCCTGTTAATGGCCTGGGAAAGCAGTGGAAGATGAGCCAACTCCTTGTGCCCCTGAATTCATGGGGTAGACCAGGAAGAAGCTCCTGGCTCCTGGCTTTGGATCAGCCCAGCTCCACCCACTGTGGCCGTTTGGGGAGTGAACCAGCAGATGGAAGACCTTCTATGTTTTTCCTTCACTGTCTGTAATTCTGCCTCTCAAATAAATTAAAAAAAAATTTTTTTAACAAGGGTCGGGGTTTTGGTAAAGCAGGTTCATGTTCCACTTCTGATCCAGCTCCTGGATAATGTGCCTGAGAAAGCAATGGAAGATGACCCAAGTGTTTGAGCCACTGCCACCTACACGGGAGACTGGGAGACCAGATAAAGCTCCTGGCTCCTGGCTCCGGCCTGGCACTTGCGCCATCTGCTGCTGCTTCCCCAGGTACATTGGTAGGGAGCTGGATTGGAAGTGGAGCAGCTGGTACTTGAACTGGTGCTTATATGGGACATTGGCAATGCAGGCAATGGCTTAACCTGCTATACCAAAATCCTAACACTCTGACTCCACCATCTTATAAGCGATATTATATGTTCTGTTCATCAGCCTCCATTTGTCCAGAGTTCTAGAAAGGGAAAGGTAGGACTGAAAGCATATAAACTACAAGTTCTGAGGATGAATTTCAGGTAAGATTAAAATTATAAGCACAGGGGCTGGCTTTGTGGTATAGAGGGTAAAGCCACTGCCACCTGCAATGCTGACATCCCATATGGGCACCAGTTCTAGTCCTGGCTGCTCCACTTCTGATCCAGTTCCTTGCTAATGTGCCTAAGAAAGCAGCAGAAGATGGCCAAAGTGCTTGGTGCTTGGGCCTGCACCCATGTGGGATATCCTGAAGAAGCTCTTGACGCCAGCCTGGCCCAGCCTTGGTTATTGTGGCCATCTGGGGAGTGAACCAGTAGATGCAAGATCTCTCTCTCTGTCTCTTCGTCTCTCTGTTTAACTTTAAAATAAGTAAATAAATAAATCCTTAAAAAAAAAGCATAACAGATTTTGGTCAATTCTTGGTTTCTTGACCAGGATGCATAAAATGGGGAGGGAAGAAACAAGAGAAAAACTTTTTTTGTTTTGTAGACATTCGGTTTATATTCTATTTTTCTAGGTTTTTCAAAGGCCTCCTACTGAAGTCATAATTTTTACAAATTGAAGAGATAAAGGTGATACAAAATTTTCAAATGTATCCACATATAAAATGTGGATTTTACATGCAGTTCTTAAAAATTTTTATTTGACAGCCAGAGATAAAGACAAAGCTCCCATTCACTGGTTCACTCCTCAAATGCCTACAATGGCCAGGGCTGGGCTGGGCTGGGCCAGACCAAAGCAAAGCCAGGAGTTGGCAACTCAGTCCTCCATGTGGGTGACAGGACAAGCCAGTTAAAATCTTCAATTTACTGGAATACATGTCAACAGCAATGTTGAAAAACTGAAAGTGAGATAGATATTCACGCGTGAAAAAATTTCAACTTACCAAACTGTAATTTCTTCATAACAGCCACATATTTTTCTTCAAGAGATTTTAACACTGACAAAGGCTTGGGTTTCATAGCCACCTTCTTGGAGTGTTCACCTAGTTTCTTTTCTGTTATTTAATATTTCAAGATAAATAACATCAGTATGCATTTTAGAAGATTAAAAGTAAAACCAATTTACGTCAGGAGTTCAAATTTTGAACTCCAGAACATTGCCTGTCTCTTCAGTTACTTTCCAATTTTATTATTTTGAGAATAAAATATTTCTATTTCATAAATATAACAAATCCACTTTCAAAATGGAAGTAAAATAATATAAAATCCTTGTGATCTGTAGCTAATGTTTGAAAATACCCATGTAAACTAAATTCTGACAGATAGTCTTAATGTACTATTATCTCCCTAATACATGAACATTTTTCAATTTTGTTACTTTCAATAGGAATAAAAAAAGAAATTTATGATGCATGTTCTTAGCCAGTCACATGCAATTTTAGCAATCTTATCTAATAGAGATAAACATTTTTTTTTTTTTGACAGGCAGAGTGGACAGTGAGAGAGAGAGACAGAGAAAAAGGTCTTCCTTTGCCGTTGATTCACCCTCCAATGGCCGCCACGGCCGGCGCGCTGATCCGATGGCAGGAGCCAGGAGCCAGGTGCTTTTCCTGGTCTCCCATGGGGTGCAGGGCCCAAGCACCTGGGCCATCCTCCACTGCACTCCCGGGCCACAGCAGAGAGCTGGCCTGAAGAGGGGCAACCGGGACAGAATCCGGTGCCCCAACCGGGACTAGAACCTAGTGTGCCGGCGCCGCTAGGCGGAGGATTAGCCTAGTGAGCCGCGGCGCTGGCCTAGAGATAAACATTTTCAAATTAGAGACTGTTAGACTGACAAGAATAAAACCTGAAATGACAGTATTTTTAGGAAAATGAACTTGCTTGAAAACCATGAACGTAAAGCAGAAGAGAAAGACAGTTTTCAGCAGATAAAGAAACATCTTTGGCTTAAATGAAAGCAGCCTTGCGTGAACAGTAGCGTACCTTGATTGGCCTGTCGCAAACTGGTGGTGGCAGCAGAAACTATCTCAGCAGTCTTTTGGATGTCTGGCACCAAAAGAGTAAGTCCTTCTGGTTCTTGATCAGATGCATCTGGTTTTACTCCTGTTTTAACATTTTCCCTTTTAGATCTGAATTTGTTTTAATATGGAAAGAAACACAAGGAAAATTAAAATATTAGGACCAAACAATAAACATCTCCATAAATCAGTAATAGTGGCTAAAAATAAAAATGCCAGTTTATATTTCACTTGTCATATACATAATACATAGTAGTAGTAGTTTAATTTAGATTCACTACTGCTTTGAAATCTTAGGCTGATGCCCAGGATAATAAAGTTACAAGTTATGCTCCCTTCTGATATAAAAACAGAGAAAAGACAAACATTATGCAAACGTTCTGCTCTAAAAGACTCAGACATCTGATTATGTCTGTACATTCACAACTTCAAAAACACAATTAATCCAGAGACAGGGAAATCACTTTTATACCCAAAAGCAACAAGTGTTTGTCTTTTATTTGCTTGGAATACATTAATTTCCAAGAAAAAGAAATACTAGTCCAGAGTAAAATGGAAGTTCAATGCCTCATATGTGCTTCTATACCTGGATCTTTAAACACTAAGTTATAGCTACAGTGCCTAAGATTTTAAAGACATTATTCTGTTCTTACCAGGTTCTAAACTGTACCAAATTTTGTGACAAATTATTATCATAGTAGGACGCATTACAACAAAGTTTCTGCGTATAAGACATCAAAATTCTTTAAAATTTTCTAGATGAGTATAATAGCAGTTTAATAAAGATTATAAGAGGTGTCTAAAAAGCTCATAGAAAATGCATATTATAGGAGAAAAAACTATTTTAGATTTCACTCTTTTGCACCAAAATAAACATAACTTTTAATTCCATTTTCTATGAACTTTTTTGAAATAACTTTGTATTCCCTTTTCTTCTACTTCAACTCTCAGCATGTTATTCACATAATAAATATCTTTACGATTCAGCTTCTTAGAAAGCTACAACTTCATTAAATAATTCAAAACATACTAAAGTCACATATAAAGAGTTTTAAAATATTAATGCTAAGGTATGATTTCAACTACAGATTACACATTTTTCTAGTTGTATACCTACCAAAAATTACCTGGACATTAAGTTAAAATAATATCTTAAAATGTGAGCATGGAGCTTTACAGAAGCATAAAAAGACTAAGGGAATGAGGAAGAATCCTTAGCAAAATAATACTGTGTTACCGTCATACAATCTGCCCAGAAACAATTCAATGCTTAACTATAGGTAGGTAACAAGCAGTAAACTTAAGAAGCCACAGAGGAGGGTAGTAGGGCTAAATATTTGGATACAATATTATGCATGTGTTTTGAATTTGGGTCCTCTATGGAGCATGAAAAAACTAGTATCCACAAATATTTCAAACTATAGAGTACATACTATCTCACCTTGTAAGATGACTTAACTGAAGACACATAATGTGAAACTGCACTATTTCCTCACCTCCTGTGCCCTCTTTTCACATTTCCTGACCCATAAGAAGTCACAGAACACTATGCCATTTGGGGAGGCACCTGGCAGACATACTGAAAGCTACTTCATTCTTCAACTTCTGTGTGTACATGTGTGCATATGAATGTGTGTTTCCATGTACACTTAAAAACAGTATAGTGAATGTTTAGAACTTGAAATTTGAATTTTTAGTATTAGAGTCAACCGATATCATATTTTTTATAGCTATGAAATAAAGTTGGGACTCTAGCTTCACAGTGCATCTGGCCATTTCTTAATAAAGACATGACTCTGGCAAAGAAACACTTAACAGATTATCAACTGCATTTTCAAAAGCTAGTAACAAACAGTGTCAAACACTGAGAATCAGGAAAAGTGCCTAAGTCACTGCACAGTACCCACTCTGATTTACAAGGACTTATCCCTCCCCAACTGTAAATGATTCTCTATTAGTGAGGCTTAAAAAATTCTTAAGTAAAAGGGTCATTAAACTCTGAACAATATAAGAAAATTATAGTAAGTTGTTTGAGAGAAGAGTTATGGTTATAGCTATAACAAAACACAGATGGTATTCTAAGCCTATGGTCGATCAACTGACCCACCCTGTGCTCCCAATAAAGATTTGAGGTAAAGAAACATATCTTGCCAAGCAGAGAAGGAAGATATGAAAGAAAAGCTCATTCTTTCTGAAAGGGTATTTTCTTCTTGAAGAAACGAGAACCGCTGGCGTGAAAAGTGGACTGTATCAATGCAATTCAGGGCTTTACAGTACTCACCACCCCAGCAGACAGGTCACCCCTGGAAAGCGATGGGTTCCGACTTTCAAGCCCTATTCATCAATACCAATTTCCTAATCTCAGTTTTTACAAGAAGATTTCTACATTATTAAAATAGTGCAAACAGGATGACAAAAATTCTGTTTTTTCGTAAAAAAAATTAGTGAAAGGATTCAGAGAAGCTTAAAAATATTTTACACCAAATGCATATAAGAAACGATCATATATAACTCATGTTGAAGACAACGGCTGAATCATAAAGCAGATACATTTTAGACCTTTACACAGGTTCTGATACGAATTTTTACTTAGATAGTCTCTGATAAAACCATACAGAAAAAAGGGGGTAATCTCCAAACAGTGAGGCTATATCAAATACATGAAGGACACACACTACCTTGCCTATTAATGATTGCAGCTAGTCATCGTCTGACATTAAACTACAGCCAGTCGTTTCTTTTCTACCAAAGTTGCAGGTTACTGTCAACCCATCTGTAGGCCCAGTTCATGAAAAAAGGCCATACCTTAGCTCACATCCTGAAGACTGTGTGAAAAGCTATTTGAGTTCAAGGCACCTAGCTGGAAGTAGGTCTTTGAGACTGACAATGGATCCAACATGGTAAAAGCAATCAGCGACGGCCGCTACCATGGTATCCGCTGCTCTGTGCATACGTTGAATCTGGTTGTGATCACTGCCCTGAAGAAATACGAGGAAGCAACTGAAGTTTCTACTGTTGCACAGAATTAGCTGCAAACATTTTCCACTATGCTGTGAATTCCAACTAAACTAATAAAATAAGCAAATTTTGGCTCTATGATATATAATCTGAACTAGGATGTGAGCGAAATGGGTAAGTCTTTCTTCTGAAAACAAAAGGGAAAAAAAAACCTCAAACCTCAACATTTGGTTACACTGAACTGCCTCTATTAACTACTGCTCAAATTAAGCAAGATAATAGGAAGACTAAAGACATATCAAAATTATGTTTGTTTCTTATTCATCAACTAAGAACAGTTTACTACAGCTATTTTCTTGGTAGAAAATTAGCAAAGACTTCTTTAAACCCTTGCACTCCTAATTTTAAAACCAAAAGTATCATACAGCTGAAATAAACATTTAAAAAGCAGAGTCACTCTGAAGAATTTATCTGGAGTTATGCTGAGATATCCAGTTTCAGGATTATTAAGGATTAGCATTTTAAAAGAATATTCTAAAACAGTAAGAGAATGAAACTTCTACTTTTAACTATTAAACAATCATATCATGTTCTTCAGTTCCAAAACTCTTTTAGATTTTACAGTTTAAAACCAGATAAAAGGTAAGCTGAAAAAAGTTTTAAGTATTATTACTGCAGAGACTGTTTGCTTCTAACATTTCCAGAAAGAATTTCTGAAATGCACCAGTAAATGAGAAGGAGACCTCTGTAAGATGGTTTCTGTGACTGATTTATAGACTAAGTTTTTTTTTTTTTAAAGATTTTGATTCCATTTTATTTTCAACTTTAACTCTTTCTAAACAGAAAGTATCAGTTTAATTTTAAAAAATTTAAATACAAACTTAACAGTATAAGAGAAGCAAATACTGAAAACAGAGATATAAGAAGCCTTTAAAACCATAACTAGAATTCTGTGTTAGAAAGAAATACAGTAACTTTAAGGCCAGAATACACACCACCAGATATAATAAAGGTACTGCATGCTACTATTGGATGGAGTTGCCATGAATAATACAATTCATCAGTTTACCAAAGGATTTCCAAACCAAGCCAAAGAAGTGTTAAAATAAATGCTCACACCCCTATCTCCACTATCAAATACAAAGTGGATGAACAATTGAATTTGTTTAAGGTCATCAAAAACTTTTCTAGTCAGAAAAATCAGGCTTTTTTTCATTCTGTAGGTGTATGAGGCAGAAGTAAAAGGCGAGAAACCAGGAATTGTTTTCCCAATAGACATCGAAGTAGATTTGGAACTAAAATTAATTCTTAAATGACTGAAGTCCTACAAGATCCAGAATAAAAGGGTTGAAAAACAAGAGCCTAACAGTAAATACACCTTTTATGAAGTAGGTCAGCTAATCTCTTACTGTTTTGCTGGACAAAAAGGAAGTGAGGTATTTCTGTAGAAGAACTCAGTTAATTTAAAACACGGTGAATGTCTCCATCAGAAAGAAACGAGGAGATGGCTAACAGCAATAAAGGATGCTTGCTTCAGTGCCCACAACACCGTACACTGAACACTCAGCCATCTGTCCTCATACCTACCAAGACTGACAGCATGTCCTTCTTTCAAGTTTTTGCTAAAACTATCATGTATCAAATATTGGTGCAGCTCTGGCCATTGTGGCCAAAGGGGGAGTGAAGCAGCAGATGAGAGACTCTCCCCCTCTGCCTCTCCCTCTCTCTGTAACTATGAATTTCAAATAAATAAGTAAATCTCTAAAAAAAAAAAAAGGCAAGCAAAAAAATTCACAAAATGAACAAGAACAGTGTTTATAATTGGGGGTGGGGCTGCAGCTGCTTTTAGCAACACAGAGAAAATAATTTTCCTTCAAACACACTACCCTGATCTACTGAAGTACATAGCAAACCAGACTGAAAAGACAGCAGAGGTAAAATACTATCATCAGTAATTGGGCAATTTTCAGAAACATGGCTTTTACTAATATAAAATGGGTAAAGCTGACCAATCATTTTAAGTGATCATGTATAGCTGCTACCTTCTCATGCAACAGACAACTAATCTGCCAATAGTTATTAAGAGGCACAATTAGGATGCTAAGTATACCCAGTGAAATATAATGCCTTTTAATGTCCTATCATAGTGCTAA